TGCACCGATATATCAAACAAGAGTAAATAGATAGCACCGTACAGAATCGCTAGTGTGTCCTATAGGCTTAAGCTACAAGGTCCTACTAAGCTTAAGCAGCTCGCAGCTCGCAAATACCGTATTTCTGGAGCCGCGAATCAGCGTGTGAACGCTCGGCCGCGTATTTGTCTCAGATACGGTATTTCGCAAATCCGGTATTTCAGAAATACGAGGTCTCGTGTGAACGAGGCTTTTAATTATATACAGCTGCGGGGTGCAGGTGGCCTAGTCTAGTCTAGTCTAGAATAGTAGTCTTGTAAAACAACGAAGTAAAACGTTTTTAAAACATCTTATAATAAACTAGCATCGAACAAAATGATAACCTCATACTCAAACCTACTTTCATTAATAGATTAAAAGGCAAAATGAAAAGAATTTCGGCTTAATTACGTACTATATTGCATGGCCTAACGACGCACTGATTTGTACGCATAAAGGTCGAATCAGACGGAGCCGCTGTGTCAATATTACTCCACACAAAACCGCTGGACGCTTTTGTCCATGTAAACATCGGAGCGTAAGCTTCGAACAAGGAAGTGTTTGATCTGGATCTATCTGAGCATAAAAACTATGCATAAAATGCTTGCATAGAATACTACTTCGAGTCGATACATTGTGGATTTCAGGGATAAACAGCGTTCATAATGAATAAAATAACAATAACAAACGATTATGAATAAGTTATATTAACACGAAGTATTAAATTGTAACGATTATAGCAACGAAACATGAATAGATAAGTGACGTAAACATCTTCACTGCGCTCCACACTCACCTCGTCGAAGTCGGCAATGATTTCGTTGAGTAACCTCAGGCACTCGACGCCCTCGTTGTTTCCTTCGAGCTCGATGTAGAACTCTGAGAAGTTAGATATCGAGGCGAACATAACACAGGCGTGCTCGCACCACTCGTTGTACAGGTCCTGCGAAACAATCACGGCGAAATACCACATAAATGTTAAACACCACGCACCTAGCTGTGCTGTACTAGCGTATATATATCAAGCTAGAGTATAGGTCCATCGTAACACCTAGATGGGCAAAAGCAGGAATCTACATCGCTTGCATTGATTGATCATATAACACGTAAATTTAAAATATCACGAGGTACAGCTGTGTAATAGAAACAGATTTGGTAAAACACGGCTTTTGCAATAAAATCGCCAGCTTTTGTACTAAAATCAATTTCATTGCGAAACCACTCGAGTCGTATCGCAGATGTGGTGAGACGATTTTATTAAAAACTATACGGCGGTTTTATTTCAAAATTCGCTTTATCGTAAAGCTTGGGGTTTCACAAAAGCTGTTATTATTACAAATATGATTGATTCGTGATGTTATAAAATTACGTTATAAAATTTATATAATTATATAAAAATTACGTGTTATACTACCGCTGCATACTATGTACTTATATATGGGTTTATGCTCCTAAACAAGTAGGTAGTACCATGAACCTATAAACTACTGTATACGCCATATTTTTCGCGAATTCAGACTTGATGCACAATTTCGCGAGTGGTTAATTTCGCGGTCGGGGACGCGTTCGCAAAATTCGCGAAAATTAAACCACCGCGAAATATACAGCGTATGCAGTACTCCTCATACTACACTGCAGATGAGTTCTTTCAAAAAAGGTTGAATTGTTATTATTACAATATGATACTTGTATTTTTACTAGCCCCCCCCCCCTATAGAAAAGCAGGGGCTATATGGCATAGCATAGATTACAAAGAGTTGAAAGATAAAATCTGGTCTGTGACAGGATGTTAGCTCGACAAGCAACAATGATGGTATGGATTGCGTGTGTGTGCGTGCGTGTGCGTGCGTGCGTGCGTGCGTGAGTGAGTGCGCGCGCGTGTGATAACCGTGTTTGCGTGCACGCGCGCGCGTTTGTCTGTTGTTGAGCGCGTGTATGTTCCCGCAAGTGTTCCTGCGTACGCATGTGCGTTTGCGTGTTCGTGTACGCGTGCGGGCGTACGTGTGTGTGCATGAAAACAATGGGAGTAAAGCTCAGTATGGCTTTGTCACCTCGTTGTGTCTCTCCATGGCTAGGAAGTGCTCTGCCACGTGAACGGGAAGAATATTGGTTAGCAGCTTCTTATTGTACACCTGCAAGCGCTGCATCTCCTCTTTCTCTTCGGTGGCCTGTAACGACCAACGCACATGACATGTGTATTCGACGGAACACTGAGTATTTTTAATTAATCTCTGCTCGATGCTTATATTCAGGCCTGCTGCCTATGGACGCCTTACCTTTACCTGAACCCCAGAAACACCGACGGGAGAGCGAAAATAGCCATCTCGCCGTCGTTCCTGCGCACGACTAGCTTACATGTCTGACGATCAATCCGTACAAGTGTACAAGTATCGCGCGAGCAGGACGTTTATCCGCGCCTCTCGCGACGGGTGATACCTGTTATTAAACGTGTACGTCGAACAGTCTGACCTTTACAACACTTACCCGTGTTGCTTGTGTAAAAGCAAGCGCCTAAGGCAAGGCTAACATGTCTTAGAACAAAAATATATTGTGTTAATCACACACACATATATATATGCACACACACAGACACACACAGACACACACACACACACACACGCACGCACGCACGCACGCACACATACACGCGCGCGCCCACACAGGCACACACACACACAAACAAACAAACAAACAAACACGCGCCCACGCACGCACGCGCGCACGCACGCACGCGCGCACGCACACACACATGTGCATGCGCACGCGCAAACGCACACGCACACGCACACGCACACGCACACGCACACGCACACGCACACGCACACAAATACACGCGCGCGGGCCCACACACGCGCCCACATTCGCACACATACACGCGCCCACACACGCACACATACACACACGCACACGCACACGCACACGCACACGCACACGCACAAGCACACGCACACGCACAAACACATACATAACAGTTAATGCTGTAGTAATCGACGTAATTCCGCTGTGCATACATCCCGAGTAAAACTATGGAATACCTGAGACGACATGCGACTTTCCGAGTTCCCGAGTTTCTGAATTTCCGATCAATATATATATATCCCCTACCGCGAGAGTAAATGTGTGTTGTTTTAAGCGGGAAAGAACAATTGAAATTTCGAACCCCCTACCATGAGAGTAAATATGTGTGCCTTTTTAATCGGGATAGCATAATTCAAATTTAGAATCCCCTATACCGTGAGAGTAAATGTGTTCTATTTAAGCGGGAAAGCATAGGGCCTAATTTAAATTCAGAATCTCCTTCATAACGCATGCGCAGTGTGTCTGTTTTCGACTTAAAAACATTTCTCAATGCGTGTTCTCGCGTTTACATTTTTCCCTGTATGATCCTTGCTGGACCACCATCTCTAGTACTATATACGATACGAAATTCAAAAACTCAAAAAGTCGTATGACGTTTCAGGGCTTCCATATAAAACGTCGCCCGAGAATCGAGAATCGATTCGATATTTTCCTCTTGGGCTAAACAACGCGATGTTGAATTTGCAAGTGACGGCGGCTGCGATTTCGTGCGTATCGGGTGACAGAACCCCCGCACGGACCCACGCTCCGACGCGACGCGCGAGCACGCTTACACGACATTTTGACACGTTCTGGCGTGCGGCCGACAGACATCAAAAAGCAATCAGAGTTTCATTCGCGAGTCTGCCCGTAACCAAACGCCTCTCGGATCAAATGAACGCCAGAAGCCCGGAAAGTGCCGATGTCTTTTCGCGCTGCGTCACAGCGTCAACGCAGCGACGCCTGGCGAGCGTAAACAGGTGGGCGTTCGTCGCCGCGAAACGAGAGCTCGGTAGGAAATGTCGCAATTCACTAGAGCGCCAGGGTGACATCGCTGATGCTTAACGCGGGGCGACTTGCAGAGAAATGTAACCACGTCTGCATGGCGAATGTGGTCGGTGGCGCCATCCGGTGAGGTGCGGGTGAAAGGTTCGACATGTAAAGAGGTATGTGTAATTCATGGCTATCCTATAATCTGTCATTCAGAATATACATCATTGCTATCTGTCCACGTTACCAATAGTCTGCCCACGTTATCAGCAGTCTGCCAACGTTACCAGTAGTCAGCCCACGCAACCAGTTGTCTGCTAACCTTACTATTAGTCTGCCCAACAGACAGACAGACAGACAGACAGACAGACAGACAGACAGACAGACAGACAGACAGACAGACAGACAGACAGACAGACAGACAGACAGACAGAGGTAGAGAGACGTCGGTGGCGTGTTTCAAATGTCGTCAACAACTGCCAACATCGGCTCGCCATCAGTTTTTTTCTCTCATTCTTTCGCTCCCCTTTTTTTCTCATCTCGAAGACGTGTCAATGCGCACATTTTGCAATTTGACGCGACTATTTTTATTCGCTCTGTGACAGCTCCTGCGCTGTCACGTCTAGTAACCGACAATAGAATGCGACAATAGAAGAGCTAGCTGCTACGCACGCACGCACGCGCGCACGCACGCACGCACACACGCACGCCCTGCCTGCTACACGCGCTACATTGCTGATCGTTCTTATTACGGACACATTCCGGTAACAAGCCATACGGCGTTGCGGTTCGGCGTATGAGCTCCATCATCTCTCACCAAGCGATAATACGCTGCAGGGAGCCATTGAGCACAAATATGGTTTGTTGGGACGCAAACCTCTGCGCGCAGAGTCGAGCAGTCCTCAGCAGGGACACACGCCAGAGTAAGAATGTAATCCTCGGCAGGGACACACGTCATTCGAGTCGACAGTCGACAGTCCTCCGAGAGCACGCTAATACTCTGCAGGTGCAATCGGGCAGTCCTCCCAAACTATCATAATACTCTGCAGGAACGCAAATCTCCGCACGCAGTCGGGTACTCCTACCCCGATATATTCAGTATATATCACTTCAGTTGTCGAACCTTCTTTACCAGCAGGACTCATCTGGCAAAGTTACAGAATTTCGGTTAAAGTCTCCTGAACATTACATAGACTTTTACGAGGTTCACACTGCGAGCACTTAAGAGCTTATGAGATTTTAACAATCCTTCCCACGCATGTAATTTCTTAAAAACACAGTTAAGCTTGTAAAATGTATAAATTGGATTGCAAGCGAATTCAATACTCCTGAAAATAACCTTTAAAGGCTAGAGCGTTGCCACGTTGTCTGAAAAATTCCGAGTCGGAAATCGCGCCCATTGGCGCGTTTTAGACTAATGACAGCTCATTGAATTTTTACGGGTCACGGTTGCGACACCTGTTGCAGAAAAACAGGATACGAAAATACGCAGTTAAAAAACGATTCGTCGGCAAGTTAAACTTACGAGGTAAAAGCGTTTTGAATACATACGTGTAATACGCGATACCAAGGAATTGTTTTGTGCCCGTGATATGGTAAGTAGCTATATTAAAACCCAGGCAATTTAAATTGCCGGGTTATAGGATTTATGGCATTATCAGCATGAAAAGACCCACTTAAGGTCTACGGACAGGTACCTCTGTAAAGGTATACCTGTAAGGTTTATCAGGGTTACGGACAGGTACCTCTGTAAAGGGCATTGCAACATAACTGCTCACCAAATTCAATCAAACACACATCTATTTAATAAAAAAGATGTCTCTCTACGCTCACGATGAAAATAATAATGAAAAGAATCATAGCTGCAAATTTATACAAATTTTTTTTCTTATTATTTCTCAAAAACAGCAGAGTTGGGACTTAAACTTTTAGCCATAAGTTATGCATAGTATGAACCAAAAAAAAGGGTCCCGGGATTTAAAATTTTTTATTTTATTTTAGAAGTTGTGATTCTTTATTTACGATATTATTGTATCTTACAAAAATATTTCAGATTTTCGTGCATCTTTTAAAATTATTTCTTAAAATAACACATTTGAAAAAATTCCAGGGACCGTTTTTTAGTTCATACTATAAACAACTTACGGTTAAAACTTTAGGTCCCAACTCTGCTGTTTTTGAGAAATATATATAATAATATAAATATATAAATTTACAATTTTTGCCGTGACGTAATTAGCGATGAGTTTTTTCCGATTATTTTCATCGTGAGCATAGAGACATCTCTTTTATTAAGTAGATAGGGGTTTGATTGAATTTGGTGAGCAGTTATGTTGCAATGCCCTTTACAGAGGTACCGTCTGAAAGTTGTGCGCATGGTCTCTCTTAGGAGCAGAGATAACAAAAAAACATGAAAATACTGTGAAGTCAAAAAGAACAAGATTAAACGCGGCGCAAAGGGTTCTACCACTTTACTTAAATAATCTAAATACCGACGATTCCCTAATTATGCTAACGAACTTGCAGCAAAAGAGTTCGGTTGCCAAGCAGCCTCATTAGAAGAACCAGCCATGTTACATCGACGCACTTTGCAGATACGTGCACTTTGAGATTTTTGTTCTGCCCACGTACACTCACAAGTATCCAAGCGAGATGAGAATGGATATGCTCGGCACGCATTCACAATGGGCGTCATATTCCAGTTTCCCAGTATACATATCCGGGAATTCTGCCGGCAGTAGAGCAACCAATTTATTACAGCAGACCATGCAAGAAACTACTGACGTTATCCCGCTATATGGATGTGAACTCTCGTTTATACGGGAAACGCAATGAAGTGGAAAGGATGCATGCATCGTTGGAATTTCGTGTAAAATTACGAACATTCGGTACATTAAATTATAACTGGTCATCTTATTAGCTACATAATATACACTAGCTCTCTATCTCCTCATTCTCTCACACCCCCCTTTTCTCTCTGACTCACTCTCTTTCTCTCTCTCTCTCTCTCTCTCTCTCTCTCTTTCTCTCTCTCTTTCTCTTTATTTCTTCCTCTATCTGTCATACTCTTTTCTCTTTTCTTCTCTCTCCTAAAAACACACAACGCACACTCTCTCTTCCTTTCGCGTGCGCGCACTCTCGCAATTAAAAGTTCTTGTCGCAAGTATAGCTTACGCGGGCATTCACGCATTCGGGTATCATCCACGCGCCCATTGCTCCTAGTATAATAGTACCACAGTGATTTATCGCTCACGTTTCATGACTAGAGCAAAAACTAATGATCTGAATGACCGTCGCCACAAAACAGTAAAGGCTATACCCAACTATAGCCGTTATTGGAGATATACTTAGCCAATTAGTGAAGTAACAGTAGCCTATAGGCATTCTAGCAAGAATCCATTGTGTAAGCTCCCGTGCGCTCTATATAACCGTACCTGTCCATTTATAACTACGCCTTTAACCCCCCCCCCCACCCTCTACCTTACTATCTATTTATCTATACCCTTCTTTGGGTGACGTTGTGATTGTCTCTGCCACTCCGCCCACTTACTAGAGTATTGGTCGCGTTCATACGTAGCAAGAAATCCGGTATTTAGCGTTCACACGAGGCAAAATACGAGGCCCAAGAAATACGGTATCTAAACAGATCCGGTATATCATGTAAATACGAGGCTTCCCAGACCCCGAATAATTTGCCGTGCTTCAGAAATACCGGATTTCTTGGACCGCGCATTTCCTCGTGTGAACGCTAAATACCGGATTTCTGAAGCCGCGTATTTTATAGACTGGTTCGCGCTCGACAGTTCCAGTGTCACGCGAGTGGAACTGTCGAGCGCGGACCAGTCTACGTATGTTATCGGCAGTTGGTGCGCATTGAACACACACACACACACACACACACACACACACACACACACACACACACACACACACGCACGCACACATGTATATATATATATACCCCAATTTTCCGTCGGTGAAAATCTCCGTTGGTCTCTCGCCGTATCTTGCAATATCAACTGTCCCTTTTTTATTGTTAGTGCTGACTTTTATACCCCCGCTACTACCACCCATGCGCTACACTAAATAATTACATCCAGAAATATCCATATTTCCGGAATTCGAAGCCAGACAATTCTTCTAGAACCATCGCACCTATCGTTTTCGCAATAATATTAGGTAGTCATATTTGACCTGCCGCGCCTATCCTCTTGCCTATACCACATCTACTTTCATACACAACAGCAAGAAAGCGCCTGCTGTTAACCTAGCCATATCACGTCTCTGTTTAAAGTATACGTTTACTTCCATGCATCTACATGACGAACGCAGTACAATAAAATCAGAATTGTATAATATAGTCTATATAATAATATATATAAATAAAATGAAATCAATGTTGTGCGAACCAACATAAAATAATTGTAACGTAGCATAAATAATATTCGTAACACAAGTGAGGCTATCGACATGATGAATTAGCATGATATATAGTGGGGCGACCGGTCACTCAGTCATTTCAAATTTTTCCAAAAGTTTCATTTTTTGTACCAATTTGAAGGTAAGGATCTATAGAACAATTTTGGTTCGAGTGTCAAGCACTCAGAGAAATTTTCTTTTTTTTACCAATTTTCTAAAATGACATGCACCATTGAAAATCGTGAATTACCTTGTTTTTTAATAAAAGCTCATACTTTTCACTAATTTGCTATAATATATAGCAGAACATGAAATAGGAGCAGTGATTGTTAAATCAGTAAATAGGATTTGCGTTTATTGAAAGGCGTAAACATAATAAACGTAACCTGGCTGTATAGTATTGTAGAATGCTGCATGGTAAAGTAAATTACTGCAGACAGACTTGCGTTTTCCTATGGTATCGGTATCGGGTTCCTTGACAGTGTGCAAAGAAATGATATGAAAATATCGTAGGCTGCAGATTATTTTAATGGTTGCGCAGTAGATGAACGGGGTTTGCCTCTCTGTTTCTCCTAGCCCGAGCCCGACCGCCACTATCGCAACAAACCGAGACCCGGTTGACGGGAATCTGTTAGCTGATTGGTTAATTGTGTTTTTTCGTGTTTCTACAAACTCTGTCGTAGAAAATGAAAATCGATTTAGCCTAAAACCAGGCCGCCTAGGCGTCCAGTCTGTATGCGATGTATAGTTAGTGTCGGTGCTTCGATCAGATTCGAGCCACCAGCTTAAACTGGAATCCGGATCCTTGAATCGGAATAAACCTAAACAGTCTCGTATATTCCCGCTCGATTACTGACGTATCACAGCGCAGTTCACTGCTGTGCAATGTATAGCTAGTGTCGGCGCTCCGATCAGATTTGAGCAACCAACATAAATCGGAATAAACCTAAACAGTCTCGAATATTTCCGCTCGATTACTGACAGCGCAGTTCACTGCTAGTCGGCAGACAATCAATTCCACCGACTCCGCTACTTATACCACCTGACTATAATATATATATACTAAGTCTAATATATAAAAGACTACTATAACACTAGCCCGACCAGGCTGTGCGACGGATTGTCTATACAATAGGTATCCTAACCCTAGCGATACCGTTTCTTGGAGCTACTATAACACCATCTGATTGACTGGAAGTGATGTAGAGAGTAGTTTATAAATAGGTTGACTGACAGCCAGCCGAAAATTCTGTCGAGAGGTCTGAGCAATGGTAGTGAATAGGACCGATATTTATCAGCGTGAAATGACTGCCACCCCAACCCATGCACTAATGCCTCCTACACGTGCACACTGCATGCGACTAGTCTAAACACATTTCCATCAGGTTGAAGATCGATGACATCAGGAGTGCACGAAAAACAACGACTTGTTGTTATTCACTCCCAGTGATATCTTTACTGCAGTTTGTACTAACCATTTCATGCATAATAAACGATCCTGTAACAATACAGTCCCCACTAAAAGGTGACGTAAGCAATTACCCTCCCACCCCCACCCCACCCACCGGCGCACACACACACACACACACACACACACACACACACACACACACCCACCGACGCAAGTGCGCACGCGCGAACGCCTACCCGACGTGTGCGTAGAGCAGGATGTCCTTGTTGTCGAAGAGGTTTACGTAAGGGAACAGCATGAGGAAGGCGTAGATGGCGACCAAGCTGGATAGCAGCATCAGCTTGAGCCAGCTGGCAACGACCAGGTAGACTGCACAGGCCATCATCACCAGCATGACACAGAAGGTGAAATACTGCAACAACGCCAACGCAAGATGAGCTGCTATTCATGAAACAGGATATATAGACACTAATATATATGTTTGAATGATTAAATTGACTGTTCAGTTGAACAATCAATCGCTCAATTGAACGTTTGAATTTTGACACATCCCCAGCCCCCGATCAGCTGCTGCTGATTGCGGTTGGCGTGCGTGCGTGAGGGTATGTGCAGAGGTGGCTGCTGTACGCCGGTATGCCTGTGTAGCTGTGTACCGGGTCAAAGGTTATCTCGCCGAGTGTTGATGCCTAATCTCCCAGTGAGCCACATGCCTCGCCGAGTTAGCGTTAGGTAGCTGCGTTAGCCGCGCAGCCGCGTTAGGTAGCTGCCTTTTGTTTGAATAGAGGCGGGGAATAGGCTTGGATTGATGGCCAACGAATGGATAATCGTGTCGTACGTTTTAGTCTGTATCTCCGGATTGCTTGTGTAAACGAGGAAACGATTTCGCACGATGCTAGGCGAATGTACTGTGTACGATTTGAGCTTAAGTTGGATGAGTTACGCCTAGTAAATCGTAGGTATTTTCAGGCTAGTAAATGACGAATTTCCCTTGTTTATTGATGTCACACTCCTTCCCTATTATCTACTCCTGATATATATATATATATGTTCAATTGATCGATCGATTGTTCAATTGATCGATTGATTGTTCAATTGATCACGTGCGTGTACCCGCGTGTACGTGCGTGTATCTGTGTGTACGCGCGTGTACCCGCGTGTACGTGCGTTTATCTGTGTGTACGTGCGTGTACCTGCGTTTATCTACGTATTCCTGCGTGTACCTGCGTGTACGTGCGTGTACGTGCGTGTACGTGCGTGTACGTGCGTGGACCCGCGTGCACGTGCGTGCACGTGTGTGTACCCGCGTGTACGTGCGTGTACCCGCGTGTACGTGCGTGTATCTGCGTGTACGTGCGTGTACGTGCGTGTACGTGCGTGTACCCGCGTGTACATCCGTGTATCTGCGTGTACGTGCGTGTACGTGCGTGTACGCAGTGTACGTGCGTGTACCCGCGTGTACGTGCGTGTATCTGCGTGTACGTGGGCGTACTCGTGCATCTGTGCGCATGTGCAGTAGGTATACGTTTTTATTTGGCGATTGACGAGCCTCGGCAATTGCTCCATTCCATGATTCAATACGCCTATTCAGTATTCATGCTTTTAATTTGTCAATTGGCGATTTAATTTGGCAATTCGGCAAATTGGCAATTTGGCAATTTGACAATTGAACAATCAATCGACGCGCGTGTACGTGCGTGTACCCGCGTGCACGTGCGTGACACGCACGTACACGCAGGTACACGCACGTACACGCACGTACACGCGCGTGTACGTGCGTATACCCGCGTGTACGTGCGTGATCTGCGTGTACGTGCGTGTACGTACGTGTATCCGCGTGTACCCGGCACGTACACGCGGGTATACGCACGTACACGCGGGTATACGCACGTACACGCGCGTG